TGCTGCGGCACCATCCCAAACAAGGGGCAACTTTCCGTTGCCACGAGCCGCCGTGAGCCGCCATTCAAACTAGGGGCAACTTTCCGTTGCCTCCAAACCCCCTTCAAACCAGGGGCAATTTTCCATTACCTCCGATCCAAGGTTGCGCATCGCAAAGAGTAAGTTCCATGCTAATGGTCCAGTTTTGGAAAATGGAATAGTTTTCGAGAAAATAGTCAACCTTAGTAAAAATTTTCAAAAACTATTTTGTAAACAGTCAACGCTCAACGAGCATAGAACTTACTCTTTGAGATGCACAACCTTGGATCGGAGGCAATGGAGAATTGTCCCTGGTTTAGAGGGGGCGGATGGCAATGGAAAGTTGCCCCTTGTTTGGATGGCGACTCAAGGCGACTCGTGGCAACGGAAAGTTGCCCCTTGTTTGGATGGTGCCGCAGCAGTCCGCAAACAGTCTTCATTGGCGGTGGCTGAGCTCTTGGACACAGAGATGACGAAGACGGTTATAACAAATATATGGACATAGTCACCTTGGAAGGTGTTGGCAACTGGACTTTGGGATGAAGTTGAAACCATTGCATGGACTGAGACGTTATGAAAGCGTTGGGGGCTGGACTTCATGATGAAGTTGCCTACGTATCCCAAACATGGGAATCAAGCCTTACATAGTTCCGGTTAAGGTACACTCGGGTATTTTAACCTTCACTTTTCAGGCTCTAACTTTTGCCAAGGCGCCCAATGCGGGTTTTCGACCTTGCGAGCTTCTTTTTATTCATTTTCTTTTGTTCATTTCTTTTTCTTTTCTTTTTCACATTTTTTTTTGCTTTTCTTTTCTTTCTTCCTTTTTTTTCTTTCTTTTTTTTTTTGCTCTAACTTTTGCCTGGGTCGCCCTTCCGGGTTTTCGGCCCAGCGAGCCTCTCAAAGGGTAAAAGTATAACAAGTCCATGCCAAATGGTTTTTGAAATTGAAGTTTCCCTGTGTCTAAGAGAACGGCTGTTGCAATGATTTGTAGGAGA